CTCCCTCCCTCCTCCCTCCTTTTCTGTAAGTTTCAGGTGTACAATAATATAATTCAATATCTATATACAATACAAAGTGTTCACCCCAAAAAAGTCTAGTTATTATCTATCACCATACAATTGGCTCCCCTCCCCTCTTTCACCCACCCTCAATCCCCTTCTCTGGTAACCACTGATCCCTACAGTTAATTTCTTGATGATAGTGAATTCATTCTTTGGAAATTGAGTATATCATAGGTTATTTTTTCCTTTGGAAAATACTATATATTATAATAAAATACTATATATTTCTATATATTACACATAGATTAGAACAATTGATAGCTGAGTAGAGAGTAGACCTCTGGCAGATAGGGAACCCTTTCTCCTACCTTTACTTAGTAAGTTTCAGCATGCTCTGAAATTGATCTCTTTAAGCTTCTGCTTGAGAAGACTGCTTGATAATGGATAAGACCATCATGATAATGGACAATCTTAATCACAGGTCTGATGACTATAGTACATTTTTTCAGTGATTTCCACATGACCATGCCCTGAGCTAAACCCTCTGCCACAACTTTATAAGGTGGATGCTGTTTTTATTCCCAATACACATGAGATATTAGAGGCTTAGAGAGGTTAATCAGTTCCCCAAGGTCACATGGTTGATACATTGCAGAGCCAAGGTCATACCGGTGTCCCAGTGACTCTAGAGCTGTACTCTTAAACACTGCAGGTGGTCTGTCTTCTGTATGATAGGACTGGTTCCAAACTATGGCTCCGCTCAAAACCCAGATCCTCATTCAGCCTGTGGTATTAGAAACATTGAAGCACAGTCTCCATTCTTTTATCTTTTTGTTCTTTTTTTTCTCTTTAATATCTAACTTCTGTTTTTTGCTTTTAATTGTTTATAAGGAAGAACTGTTGAAAAGAGTTTAAAATTCTTTTTCTGTATTCAAATGGGGAAATGTCCTGGGAGGTATTAAACAAGATTTGAGCATTAAACATTTCCCCTACTGATCGAACTCCTCCCCTCACTTGTTGACTAAGGCTTGCTTCACTGAACGTTTTCTTTTTTTTCTATCCACAACCTGAGTGCCCCATGGAGGTGAAGGACATAGCCTCAGCCCGTGCCATCAGTCAGTAGAACAAATGGGCTTGCTCTGCCTAACATTGGGCCATCTCGGATTCCACCTCTTTTATAGAAATGACTGATGAAGAGAGGTGCGTTCCGCTTTGCCGCTGTATTAATACACATCAGGGGCCAGCTCCTGGCACTAAATCACGCTGCTGCATACATCTGTTATCGGGTTCTTCACCAGTGTGATGAACAAGACTGCAGATAGAGGCTTCCTTGTGTCATTCTTTATAGGATTTTCCTAAAAGAATAAATAGCTCAGATCTCTGCCAACACTCTCCCTGTCACTGTGATGAATTCAGCTTCTTTCTTAAACATGCAGCCACAAATCTTTTCCCCTTCCCCCTCCCCCACTGGTGGAAAGTTTTGAGTTGAAATTGACTGAATTTAAAGATATTAATAAGGCTAGAAAGGTGCAGAGCAGAAAGGAAGAGCCTACCTTGTCTTTTTGACCTAATATTAACAAAAGGCCAAGGAAAAGGACCTTTTCATAGGGCCATTGAATAGATCCTTCTTCAAAGTGTAGCACTTTTATTTTCTTCTTTTTATGTCCACTCCCCTTCTCCTTATGGCTTTATAGACACAGGTGTGTGGCACACAGAGCCACTGGATCTGAGTGAGTAACCATGTAAACCTGTTCATAATGCCCGATACACCAGAACATGGAATGCCCAGCAAGTCATTACCTCGTCCCAAAGTGAATTTGCTGTATATGCTCTTAAAGAATGTAACTGGAAAAGAAAAAAATGGTTATTTTCTCCAAAACTTGAGATTAAGTAGCTATAAAAAACATGAGGAACTCAGACGAAAACCAGGCTTCATTTCCTTGAGATGCTTTTCTTCATCAGAGTAGGAGAGCCTTTGGTGTACAAACCCCATTCCTTCAGAAAGTAGACCAATGGCCCTCGGTAAAGGAGAATAGGAGGTGAGGTGTTCAAAGCCCTTCCAAATGCCTTTTCTGACTTGTCTCTCTGAGATAGGGTACGTGTTCTTAGAGCATCAGTCGGAAGGGCACCAAACAGTTAACCTTTTGATTAGCTACATCAGATTCTGAATATCAGGCCAGTGATTCGAGAGATGCAGTTGCAAGGGCAGGAATTCTCATCTGTTTTGCTGCTGCTATACCCCCGGCCACTAAAATAATACTCGTCACAGGGAACAATCTCACTAGATACTTGTATGAATATATGAATAGAATCTTAAAGTTGAAACAGAGTTGTTCTCAATATTATTCTCGTTTGTTGGATTCAGTAGTTCCATTTTAGGTTCACCCTTGTCTTGGGGGCTGTAGAGCAGATTCTTACTGCCCCCTACGCCTTTTTAAAGTTTAAATGGTTTTTAAAGTTAAAAAAAAAATTTTAGTAAATATTGAATGGTTATAAAAGAGTATTTGTAGGAGATATATGTGGAGTAAAGAAAAATGATACAGTGAATATCCATTACTCACCATCCACTTTAAGAAAAAGAACACCTTTAAAATCTTTTTTCTACTCTCCTCAGAGGTAACCATTATCCTGATACTTATTTTTTGTTAATCACTTAGCATTCTCTGTTTGTTTTAAATGTGTTTTTATTGATTTTAGAGAGAGACAGGGAGAGAGATAGAGAGAGAGACATTGATGAGAGAGAGACATCGATCGGCTGCCTCCTGCACACCCCTTCCTGGGGATCGAGTCTGAAACTCAGGCATGTGCCCTGCCCGGGAATGGAACCAGTGAACTCTTGGTTTATGGGTCAGTGCTCAACCACTGGGCAACACTGGCTGGGCATCATTCTTTGTTTTTTAAAATAGTTTTTAAGACCTATGGATCTCTTAGCAATATGTTATCTAGTTTTGCATGCTTTTGAACCTTGTATAAATGGAATGTCGTATTTTATACGTTACAAGTTTTACCCAGTTATTTCTTGAGATTCATTCATGTTTCATCCTGCCAAATCCTCTTTTTGCTGCCATATATATGTTGTTCTATTGTATGAATATGATGAATATACTACAATTAAACATTCTTGATGGACATTTGGATGGTATCCCATTTTATGCTATTGTGAAAAATACTGTGTTGTTCTGTGGGAGAACATGTGCAAGAGTTTTTTCTGGGCCACTTCATGCTCCTTAGGATAGCTATATCAAAAAACAGGAACCAGCAAGTGTTGGGAAGGATGTGGAGAGACTGGAACCATTGTGCGTTGCTGATGGGAATGCAAAATAGTGCAGCCGCTGTGGAAAACAATATGGCGGTTCCTCAAAAACCTAAACAAAGCTTTTTCGGCTAGAACCACCATCTTCCAGTAATTCGCCGCAATTACTGTCCCAAAGGGAAAGAGGAGAGGCACGCCCTCTATGTTCTCTAGGCCTTTTAGAAAACCCAAAGCTGTTCCTCTAGCCACATACATGTGAATCTGCAAGGAAGGTGCAGTTGTAGACATCACTGGAAGGGGCACCGTTCAAAAAGGAGTGCCCCACGAGCGTTGCCATGGCAAAACCGGAGGAGTCCACAGTGTCACCCAGCCTGCAGTGGGCATTGTTGCAAATAAACAAGTTAAGGGCAAGATTCTTGCCAAGGAAATTAATGTACGTATTGAGCATATGAAGCGCTCTGAGAGCCGAGACAGCTTCCTGAACGTGGGAAGGAAAATGATCAGAGTAAGAAGGAAGCGGAGAGAAAGGTGCCCGGGCGCAGCGGACGCGCCAGCCTGCGCCCCCCAGGGAAGCACGCTTTGTGGGGGCCACGGAAAGGGGCCCGGGCTGCTGGAACCCGTTCCCCGTGAATCCAGGGCATGACGGGTGTACCAAAATAAAAGACCTCTGTACTGTTAAAGACTGTAAGAGGCATAGTATTCTTTCTGCAAATGTGTGAGAGGCCATATACCAACATGTAGTATTAGGCTTTTGAGATTAATTAAAGAGTAATCAAGTATAAAATTCAGAAATCCCATTAAATTCATTAGATGTCATAATAACTTTTTTCCTATTTATTTAACAAAAAGGGAAGATACATATCCACAAAGGTAAACTCATTGTTGATAGGACCACTACAGGTTTGCTTCCTACAAGTACAGACTCTGATATATTCTACTTTGCTTGATTCCTATCAAAAGAGAAAAATGTATGTTGCATTTATAATGCTGCATTATCAGGAGATAACTTTTTTGACGAGGTATTAAGTTAAAACTAAATCCTTCTTTTATAATTTTATACATGTGGTAATTAGAAGAATTTTCCATAAATGAACTTCTGGCCCTGTACATTTCAAACCTTGTTTTTCCTCTATTACCAGCACACTTCAGTGTTGGGCACCATAGGACATATTCTTATGAACCTATGGTCCTGCACCTTCATGTCACATCACCAGTTTGGTAGGCACTGTGGAAAGTAGTAGANAAGAAATCTAAACAAAACTACCATATGATCCAGCAATTTTGCTTCTGGGTATAGACCCAAAAAAATTCAAAGCAGGGATTCAGGCATATTTGCACACCCACATTCTAGCAGCTTTATTCACAGTAGCCAAAAGGTGGGAACAACTCAGATGTTCATTGCTGGATAAATGGATAAGCAAAATGTGTATACTGTAAAGAATGGAATATTCAGCCTGAGCGCCTTCATGATTCAGAATGGAATTCTGTTGCCTGCTGCAGCGTGGATGAAGACATTATGCTAAGTGAAATAAGCTGGACCCAAAAGGACAAATATTGTATGATTCCAGTTATATGAGGTACCTAGAATAGTCAAGTTTATGGAAGCGGAAAGTAGAATGGTAGTGGCTAGGGACTGTGGGAGGGAGAGTAGAGGGTTTGCATTTGGGAAGATGAAAGTTCTGGAGATAGGTGGTGGTGATGGTTGTGAAACAGTGTAAATGTACTTAATGCCACCGAGCAGTACGCTTGAAAGTTATTAAAATGATAAGTTTTATGTTATGTATATTTTGCCGTAATAAAAAACATAGCAAAAAAATAAGTTTTTCTCGGGTAGAGTTTTTCACTGTGGTTAATGACCATATAGTAATGATAAATACAGTTTTGTGAAATTTCAGTTAAATGAGTGAAATTTCAGTTAAATGAGTGAGTGTGTGTGTGTGTAAGCATGAGAAAGAGAGTTTAGATTGATTTGGGTTGTGATGGCAGATGCATTTCTTGCTGTTGTGGTTTGAGGTTCCAAAACATTTGAAAGCCAGTTCCCTCAAGAAACTCTTGTACATGTGCCATAGAGTAATAGCTTTCAAAATTACTTTTACTCACTGTAAGAAATTCATACTTGAATATATGTGTGGGTATACGTGTAAATCTGAAATAAATCCTTGGGTACACTCTGATATTCTTTATTCCTTTCCATTAAGAAGAAAAAGTACTGGTCATAACCCCCTAAATTGATTTTGTGACCCATAATTTTAAAATTACTGTTCTAGATTACATTCTTAAAGTGGAATTACTGAGTGACGGGGTAACAATGAAACCTTCTAGATTTTGCTATGTATTAGTGTGTATTTGCTATCAACAAACAGAGTGGGTGTGATGGTGGTTTGTGCTACTCTGCTAGGGGGCATTTGGAAATGTGAGGACAGTGTTTGGTTGTCCCAGTGACTAGGGAGTACTTTCGGCATTCAGTAGATGAGGTCCAGAATGGTAAGTGTCCTAAAATATACAGGACAGCCCTACATAAGCAATTACTATTCTGTCTAGAATTTGTTTAGTGTTCTTGTTGAAAAACTGGGCCTGATTTTCTGCCATTTTCCTTATTATCCACTCTGTTGGTGACACTGTCATATTGGAGGTATGGGGTGTGATAGCAGGAACGTAGGGCTTGGAGTCCAGTATCTGAGTTTGAATCTTGCTGCTTAATCAGGTCTGTTTTGTCCCTGGAGAATTTATCTGCTCTCTTTGTGGCTCAGTTTTCTGACCTGGAAAATGGAGATGACAATACCTACATATGAGAGTTTGCATTAGGAAATGAGATTATGAATGCAGTGTTTACATAGCGTAGTGCCTAGCACATAAGTGCTTAAGAAGTGATAGTTACTACATTTTGAATTCCTATTACTGACTTTGTTTATTTGTTCATTTAAACCCATTTTCTCAGATAGAAAAATACTTATCTTACTTAAATCTTGCCTTTATTTCTTTGCAAAGATAAAAGAAAAACCTTTTGTGGCCTCTTGGGTTGATAGAACATAAGATATAAGGATTCAGAATATTTTGGGTCGAAGTGTCTCCCATCCTAATTTGCCTCCCTTTGATTTTTCCCTTTTTCTTTTATCGTAGCAGTCTCATCAGCTCATGCGGATGCGATGGAGCCAGCCACACCAGCACCGCAGGCTCCGAAATCTCCAAATGCCGAGTGGTTGGTCAGGACCTCTGCCACAGAGAAAACCGCTGATTCAGCTGCAGCTGCGTTTTTTAAAACACCACAAGAAAAGAGCCCTGGATGCAGCTAGAGAGCAGTAGTTCACCCACCAGGAGCCAATGGGTGTTGTGAAACAAATGTTAGATTTTGTATTATATAGTCTTGTATAGCTTAATTGATATTTCCAGTCTATCACCAGGACTGGCTCTTTCCTCTTCAAACAAAACAGTGGACTCTCTCTTAGAAAATCATATTGTGGAAATCTGTGTTTTTTTTTTAAAAAAAAGTGAAGTATCGGGGCAGCAGTTTTTAAAAAAAAAATCATCATATGCTATATTTGTTACACTGCTATTGCTGTCTCAGCAGTTACCTACAGCTTCATTTACAGAGCTGTTGCTTTTTTGCAGGTGTGTCTTTTTTCTTGAAAACTAGTAACTGCTTTTGCATACTTTTTGTGTAGAGCTTTTAGTATTATTTGAGGAAGTTCCAAATTTGCAGTCAGTTATAGACAAATTTAAGCACCGAGTTAAGACCAGTGTGTGGAATTGTGTTTGCAGGAGGTAAGACCTTGCTTTCAGCCTGGCCTTGCTCCACTCAGAGTGCCAATAAGATAAATCTACCAGGGTCTCAGTTTGGAGCCTCAGAAGCGACTCTAGCAGCATGGGACTTGGGGACTCCGTCCAGTCTTCTAGATGGCCTACTGGGATCGCCGGCAGCTGCATTGCCCTTTGCTTCATCTCCAAAGTTCGTGTTCTACCAAGAGGACATTTTAGACACACACACAGACACACACAGACACAGACACACAGACACAGACACACACACACTCTGGTGTAATGAAGATGGTTTACCTGTACAGCACACTTAGAGTAGTCAGTGGATTATGTCTTAATACTTCATGTTGCAGTGTAGGCCTTTATGTACTCAATGGGATTTTATCGTTAGTTTACAGGTCAATAACCTGCAGCAGATATTCATTATCTATTATAATAATGGCTTCTTGGGGTTATACTTTGGGGAGGAAACATGTCTTTTGACATGCTTTATACTTGGAGTGTTTGTGACAGCTCACTGCGTGTAGAGTTATGTACACAGCCATGCCTGAAGTTGGATGCTCTTTTGTCAAAATGAGGAATAAGCGACTGCCTAGAGCTGCCGGAGGAAAGCCACCCTCTCTAAAGAAAGTGTTACCCAGTGTTTTTCTTTCAGGGGCCCGGTTGTTAGAAGGGTTCTTTTTTGGTACAAATGGAGTACATTTACTCAGAAATATACAGAAACTTCTCCAAGTGCCCACTGCTCTGGCACTGCTCTGGAGGCGCTCCCACTCACACCAGGAGAGTTTTTGTGCTTAAATAAGTGCGGAGTGGGGCAGCCTCCTCCCTGGAGGGCCGGTGTCCCTTCTCACACAGAACATGACTGGGCTGCTTTATCCTGTTCACTTTAAAAAGTATAGCCTTTATCAGTAATAGCTCTAGAATGTCCTTCTGTGGGGTTGGTGTGAATCTAGGAGGAGGGGGGACTGAAGCTAAGTTATGTGGCGCTTTATGTAAGACTGAGAACATCAGTTGTCCCTAACAAGGAGTATGGTGAAGGGAGGGCCAAATGGAGATTATGGGGTGAGGAGGAAAGCTAAAACCATCCCAGCATCCCTGGGAGTCACCCCGGTTCCCATGTGGTAGAGTGTACTGCCCTTCCCCGTAAGCCACACCCATAGCAGTAGACAAGATGGAATGTCTGTTGAATACAAAATGGCACTGCTGAATTGTGTAGTGATGAAGGTAGGCTTCATTGTCTTATATGCATTCTTAACCTAGCCCCATCGTGTCCTGAGGCACACATTTCTAACATACTTTGTTGGATTTGAGAGAGAAAGCGGTGAACATAATTTTATTTTCTTTGCACTAAGCTCTGTGGCTCATGCAGAGATTGGTCCTGTGATCATAACCTATTAAGGCCTCCATAGTTCAGGTAGAATCTTTTCTTCATGGCATGTTGCCTGACAGTTCTTTTTACCTGTGATTAAAAGTAGTCTATGTATATAGCTTTACATTTTAAACATCTCTATGATGTAAAGGTAGGTGACCCCTGCCATTTTCAGAGACAAGTTAAGTGACTTGCTCAAAAGCACGTAATCAAGCCAGGATTAAAATCCAGACTTTCAGACTTTCTCTGCCCTGGGTTAAAATCTCTTGTTTTTCATTGATAGACCTGAGTTGCTCTGAGGCCCATGGTTTTGAAATAGGATGCTATGAATGTTTATCATCTTTCTTGGGCATGCTTTTCTACATATTTTGAATAGTTTCAACAGGGATCACCCAAAAATGCCATATCTACGTATAATAATAAGGGGAAAAAATTAATTGCCTAAGAAAATAGCAATTAAGTACACAAGTACTTTGCAAAACAGGTTTTTAAATTGTTCTTGTAAGCTGCTGCGTGAGCCTGCTTACAGAATTATTAACTTATTCTGCTGGTTTTCTTTATGAATCAATTGCAGAGGAACCGTAGAATCGAGTATATTTTGAATCTTAATATGGCAAATTATATAATGTCATAAATTAAGAGAAGTCTTTTACCTCTCAACAAAAGGTATAATTTCAAAATCAGGTTTTGTAATATGTTAAAGAAATCTCTAATGGCATTACTTCCTTTGAGGATAATCCTTGAGCTTACATGTATTTGATCTTCTCAAAAGTAATAACAGACTGAGTTCCATAGTTCTTATTTCAGGGTTCTGGGTTATCCCAACTGGCTACACAGTCTGCCTGTCTGAATCCTAATCTTGTGTGTTTTTCACAATAGGCAAAAGTCAAGACATTATCTGCTACTGTCATCATAAAAGTTAGTTTTGCTTATGAATTTAAGGGAATTTGAGATTATTTTTCAGATGCAATATTTCAAAGGGAACAACTTCATTTGCATCAGAACTCTTATGTTGCTTTTTGATAAGAACTTTTTAGAAGAGGAAAGTAGTAACTGTTTACATGGTGCCAAATTTGGGAGGGGCAGAATATGGTCTTTATTGACTGGTGTGTGTTTTTAAACTTGAACTTTTTAGAAAGCAAATGCAATTAAAAATTTTAGATGACATTGTTTTGCTGGGATATGAAACAGGCCGCAAAACAAGGCCATTTGGGCACCAAATTACCAAAAGCTGAAATCTAATCTGTACTGCTTATGGCATCTTATGCTAAGTAAAATGCCACACCTAGAACAGGTAATGAAACTCTATAAATGGCAAATAGATTAATTTGATGTATCTTTGAATTTTGGAGTTAGAAACACAATTTAGACCACAGCAGTGGAAGTTCTGACTCTGCAAAGTAAAGGAGCAGAGTTATCACAGAAGTCTCTTAGAGAAGGGAGCTGGCTGGTGCTATCACTGTTGATGTGATGGCTTCTCCACTTTGGCCCTGGGCTGCTGATGGTGTGTGATTCATTTCAGGTCTTTGCTGTGTTTTGACTTCTTACTGTGCTCCTGAGCCATACACTTTTTGTTTCATGGGCTCTGTAAAAACCTCAGCATTAGAAGCCATGCTCAGTATTCTGTATGTTGGGTGAGCCTTATCTGAGCCGGGTTGAGAGCAGAGTGGCTTACCTGGCAGCTGTGGAGGCAGCCTGCTTAGGGGTGCATAGCTTGTAGGACGTGTCATGGTTTGTGGGGTGGCAGGAGGGACGATAGAAGCAGTTTGCGCTTGCTGTCGGCTGCTCCTTTGTAAGTGCTCGAGCTGTCCCTTTTACTTGTCAGGATTTCCTTATCTCCCCCTCCAGCCATGACAGTTAGTGGAGTTACTGATGGCGGCAGCGACCAAGGGGCTCCTACCCATCAGGACACCCGTACAGAGGGAAGAGGTGAGGAAATTGGGTTCCACTATTAGCACCAAACACAGTGGCCTAGAGATGCTTTCGCCTACATTAAGGCCACAGCAGATGAACATCAGATGTTGGGGGACAGCAACATTGAAAAGAAACGAGGAAGATGAGTAATACTGCTCAAGAGTGGATTATAAGGTTTTTAACAAGCCCAGCCAGACAAACATGACTGAAGAATTAATTCCCTGCCACTGCAGACAGACATAGGCTCTCCGTAAAAGTGCCAAATTTGGGGAATAAAACAATTTAAAGCACAGTATTGAAGAGGGCATATCCTGAAGGTGTTCACAAAGGAAAGCAATCTTGGCCAGGGGAAGAGAGGGGGAGATGCTTACAAGATACTAGGATGGCTAGACCAATGGCATCAGCACCCTTGGCCCCACCAGACCTACTGAATCTGAAACACTGAGGGAGGGTGGAGGGGTGGCTCAGTTTGTTGGAGTGTTGTCCTGTACACCGAAAGGTTGCAGGTTCGATTCCTGGTCAGGACATATGCCCAGGTTGAGGGTTCAGTCCTCAGCTGGGGTGGATATGGGAGGTAACTGATGAATATTTCTCACATTGATGTTTCTCAAATCAATAATATATCCTCTGTAGGATTTTTAAAAGTATAGAGATGTTTTGTGTATGATATTTTGCAGTTGCTATTAATGTCTTTGCTTCCCATTCCCTTCCCCTCAAGCCCCTGAAAAGTCACCTGGAAATATTGAGAAAGGGTAACGTAGAGAGAAATGCCATCAAGGCCAAGGTTAGGTGGATGGAGACCGTTTTAAAAATCAATTAAAGTAGAACCGTGAACTTTTAGTCCGTGAGTCGTTTTTCATAATTGACAGGAAAACATTTGTGTGCAATACTGCCATCCATGACTTTATGACATTTGTTCATTGAATCTTAGTTTCATGGGAAAATGTTATGTATTTTCTAGCATTACAATGATGAAGCCTTTAAAGTGTGACTTACAAATGTGAAAAAAAAAAAAAGAAAGGAAACCAACCTGAGTACACAGCTTTTGTAGTAAATGTCTGTCGAGTAATTGGTAATCTTTTGCTAGGACTTAATCTCAGTATTCACAGCATGTAAAGATCAATTTTCAGTTATCCCACTTAATCATATCCTATTTGTTTTATGTTTCAAGTCGTGTGTCTGCAGGGGTCGGGGACCAACAGAAACAGCACATTACGTGTATTTTTTTTTGTCTGACTCGAGTTCAGTATTTCAGAATATGGTACTCTAACCTTCAAGTTTTGGAATGAAATCCTGACCGTTTTTTCCCTTAGATTTTATTTGTATGAATTGGGCCAGGCCCTAACTGACTACCAAAGCCTACGAACCCAGGTTCTCTCTCTCTGGGAATATGTGTGGCTAAGAAGGAGTACTCTAGTATCATTTCCCCAGATGCTCATGTGATTTTGTGCCCGGTCTTAATTTATAAAGGTCACTGAGTGAGGACATGGAGAGATCAATGCCATTGAAAGAAAAGTTTAACGTGACAGTTTCTCTAGGAACACGAGGCACGGCTTGCCACGCAGGGCCACAGGACGAATACCAGGTTTGCATCAGGAGCAGAAGACAGGAGCAAGTGGTAGGTTTTAAGCCAGAGTTTTTATGGGGGTTTCCTTCTGAAAGGCAGGGCAGGGAGGGTGAAAAGTTTAGGAATGGCTAGTTTGAGTAATTTCGAGTCCTTTGGACTATAGTGTGGTTTCTAGTTGCCTGGTACCTGGCTCTGGGATGTTTGCTTCCCGGGGTGTACAGGCCAGTTGGAAGTATGGCTCCAGCACCCTTGGTAAGCTTGTACATCAGAATCGTGCTGCTGGCTGAATCCTTTGCTCTTTCTAAGAATTGGTAACCTTGGGAGGAGCAGTGTCTCCTCAGCCAGAAAGGCTTCTTAAGATGTTGAAACATAATTTACAGAAAATTAAAGACCATAGTTAATACACATATTTACCTCTCATTTCAATTTTTTTCAGTCTTCAAGCAACATATAACTTTACTTTTCTATCTTGAAAACCATTTAAAAGGACCTCTAGCCAAAAAATGATGTTGTTACTAGATATTATCAAGGTATGGGAATATAAAACGATTAAGATGTAAATTATGAAAATCAATGATTTCTCTAGAAGTGAGTCCTGTCCCTTGCAGATCTCATTCAGATTATTCAGATGTTTTTCATTGGAAAAGGAAAGAAAAAATTAGAGAACTTACAAATAGCCTTGGCGGCTTTGACTTAAATCAGCCCATTTCATTGAGTAGATTCTATGTCTTGCTCCTTCCAGTGGGCCATGTATTTCTCCATGAAAAATTGTCCTGACTGTGCAAGCTTCTTCCACCCCAAAATCTTGCTGACATTTTGGATTGCATTCAGTATTAAGCTCACTCTACCTCCCGCCTGTTGTCAGCAGCTATTGCAAACTGTGGCCTTTCAAAAATTTTCTATCCCCTCCCCTTGATGTCAGCAGCTCTTCTCCCCCTCCCCTTATAGATAATAGAGCATTAGGAGTCCCCATTTAGGCACCTTCACATACACCCTTCCTCACCTTTTCTTCTTGCAAGTGCCTGCCCTGCTCAAGGCGAATCCCTTCTCCAGTGCCCTAGGTCCCCCTCTCTGGGTCAATCTAGCTACAGCTTCTCACTCCTGGCACATACAGCTTTGCATTTAAACAGTTCAAAGACTCCCGTCTTCAAACAAAAGTGCCCTTCCTTAACCCTTTGACCCCCTTGACTATCACTCAAGTACTGCCCTCACTTGCAGTTTCTGCCCCTTTGTTCTAGTTAACTGAAGCAGTGGTTTTTAGCCCTGGCTGCACATTAGGACCACCCAGGTGTATTTTTAAAACTATTTCCCCAACTGAATCACAGCCCAGTTACATCAGGATGGGGAGGTGGGACAGGCTTGTCTTTTCAAAGCAATGTTCAGATGGGGCTGAGAGCAGCATGCTCAAGCCTGGCCACTGTCCTCATCACTATTAAAATTGTTCTTACTGCCCAGTGGGGCGGGGCTCAGCGGTTGAGCATCGACCTAGGATCCAGGAATCGCGGTTTGACTCCCGGTCAGGGCACATGCCCGGGTTGCGGGCTCAGTCTCCAGTCGGGGGCGTGCAGGAGGCAGCCAGTCAGTGACTCTCTCATCATTGATGTTTCTTTCTCTCCCTCTCCTTTCCTCTCTCTGAAATAAATAAAGATATATATATTTTTTAAATTGTTCTTACTGGGTCCGCCAGTGACTTCTAATTTCCAAGTTTTAGTCCGTAGGTTGATCTTCATGGCTTGATACTGTAGAACCAATTCCTTCTGGAACTCTCTTTTCTGCCCCTGCTCTCCTGGTTTTTCTCCACCCCTCTGCTCTGTGTCAGTCTCCAGAGGTGGGCAGGTTGGTGGGTGGGTCAGTGCAGCGCCGAATGTCTGTCTCTGGCCTCACCGCCAGTACTTCAGTTAGCGCCTGTGTGCTCATGAGCTCCTTTGCCAAAGCGCCTGAGTGCACCGACTTAAAGCACGGGCTTAGGGTGAGACAGCCTCCTTCATTAATAATTACCGGGACTTTCTAGGCTGGCATACTCAAGGTTTCTGCTCCTTCCCCCACTTCTTTCTGTTCCTCCTCCGAGCCCACTGAGGTAGGGAGACTTGCTAATCACTAGATCCTAAGATGGATCACCCCGTTTACTAGTGGGTGGAGTTGAAAAGTCTGCCTTGAACAGTGGTCCCGCTTCTGCTTTCTCCTTTCCAGGGTCTTGGACTGGTCAGGAGGCCCGGGCCCACTTCTGCCTGCGAGGAGCCTACCCCCATCTAGTGCTCTCTCCAGTTTTTTACTTTCTGCTGCTGGTAAGACTTTAGTTTGGGTTTAGAGAGTGAGACAGACCCATTTCCTCACCACTTTTTAACCTTGAGTATCATGTTGGATCTTTGTCAGAGAACTTTTTATTGGGGTTCCAGGCACGAGTAAGAGCTCTACTAATAAAAAAGCGGAACGTGATTTCCTGCCTCACTACCATCACTGCTTCTGGGACTGGCCCCACCCTCACCAGAAAGGACCCGGTGTGTTCCTGGCTTCTTTGACTCTCTAGTTTCTGATTCAAAATCAGGGATAGGTGGGTCTGACATAGTCAGGCACCTGTGCCTTAGCTGTGGGACATGAGAACGAGGTTATCTGGAATGTTTCATTGGGATGAAGAAACATAAGAGGGCGGGTCAGATGCTTGACAGCTGATAATAACAAAAAGGTCCATGAGAGCCATTGTACTAATCACTGATTCAGAAAAACATTTATTGGGCGCTCACTAAGCCAGCCTTCCTCAGGTCTCTTGGGGAAAAGGGTGGCTGCCCCAAAGCAGGATATTTTGAGGTTCCTTAGATATATTCTGTGAATTCTTGAAACCAGTAGAACCCTTCTCAGAGCTAATAACAACAACAAAAACAACCATTTACTGAGGGATTATTATATGCCTTAATATAATCTCACTTAATCTTAAATAATCTCAATCCTCAACTACTCTAAGATAGATACTTTTATCTCTGTTTTAAAGCAATGAAATATGATTACAGTTAAAGATTAACTTGCTCAAGTCATAGAGCTAATCATTGTCAGACTGCATTCAAACTGCAAATCTGTTTAATGCTAGAGTTTACATTACCAGCCAATGCCCTGTGCTGCCCCTTTTCACAATAGAAATGAACTGTTGGTGGTCATGTATGTCTGAAATAAACTGTGCCCCTAGGCCTAGGGCTGGATATCTAGTGACACCCTTTTACTCCATTTGCCTGTTGCTCCTGATGGGCTGTTTCTGTGTCAAAGCAACTGTGAATGTGCACAACTCTTCTCTATGCCTCCAGCACTGGAAGAAGATAGGCAATTCCTGTGGCATCCTCTTAAAACAACCTGTTCTTGTTTTTGAAAGTAACCAGAGCAAAAGTCAATAAAATCTTCCAAACCCATGGTATTGTCCTTTGTGTGCCAAAGCAGCACTGATCCATAAGCCAGGAGTGCATGTGCTTTGAGTTGTTAATGGCAGTGAAGGACTGTCCTGAACATCTCATATGTTCAGACTGTTGCTAAACATCTCATAGAACTGCTAGCAAAAGAGCTGTCTTAACAGCCTTGGCCTTTCTAAATGTCCCTTCATTCAGTAGATGTGTATGGAACACTTTTTGTGCCAAGCACTCTGCCAGCTGCTGAGTGTACAAAGAGGAAAGGCATTCCTGATACCACGAAGTTCATGGTCTTCTGAGGCAGAGTCAAGGAAAGTAAATATTACTCTGTAAAGTGGGAAGTTTTGAGATAAGACTATCAGGGTATTTTGGCAAGAAAGAAGGCGCCCTAACTTACACTGAGCAGGAGGATTACAAAAATACTGACCTGAAGGACAGCCAGGGGTTGAGCGAAGAGAGGATGAGGCCATGCTGTGTCCAGAGCATGGTTTGTCCAAGGGTTGGTAAGGCTGGCGTGTGGCGATACGGAGGAGCAGGCAGAGGCAGGGGACAAGGGGCAGGAGCCGTGCGCTCGGCCGTGGGAGCGCGGCTACAGCAAAGCTGGGACTGAGACGCGAACGGGGCTGCGTCTCCTTGACCACGTCTCTGAGATATGTAACCAGGTCCACCTGTTTGTAGGAGCGGCTGTCATGCTTAGGAGTAGATGAAACTGAATTGGAAATACCACTTCCTCCCGTGGCTGACTGGTTCCCTTGTGTGTTCTAGCATGAGGCCGGTCTGAAGTTACTCCCCTCGAACCACCTTATCTTGGTAGGATTTAATGTACAATGTGATAGTCCTAATTGCTAGCACTGTTCTTCTGGGACAAAGTTGTCACTGTCAGC